GAGCTCCCACTAAAAAAAAAAAAAAAAAAAGAAAACTGTCTGTAGGATATATATGTTAAGTGAAAAAACTGGACACTATTTATAGTATGAATACAAAAGACATGTTTTAATTTATACATGTAAGAAATGTCTACAAGAAAACATATCCAAATATGTCTGGGTATATTTGTCTATAAAATACAATTATTGGCAAGTCTTCTTCTTTCTCTTTTTGTTTCTACAAAACTTCTACATTTTATTTTTTTACTATTATTTTTAAAATTTTTGAATTGGAGTCTCACTCTGTTGCACTGGCACGCTCACAGCCATCCCAGTGTTGATTTGCTGGGCTCAGGCGATTCTTCTGCCTTTGCCTTCCAAGTAGCCAGAACTACAGGTGCACACTACCACACCCAGCTAATTTTTCATTTATTGTAGAGATGAAGTCTTGCCAAGTTGCCCAGGCTGGTCTCAAACCCGCAGGCTCAGGCAATCCACTCGCCTGATTTTTATTATAAAGACGAGGTCTCGCCAAGTTGCCTGGGCTGGTCTCATTCCCGCAGACTCAGGCAATGCCCTTGCCTCAGTCTCCCAAAGTGCTGGGATTACAGTCTGAGTCACTGAGCCCGGCCAAACTTCTACATTTTAAAGCAATGAACATAACTGACTTGGCATCAAAAAATGTTAGAAAAACAAACAAATTCTATAACGGAGCTCACTTTTTTAGGCAACTTTTCTATATACAAATATCTTTTTTTTCTTTCCATTTATACTCTTACCTGTTTCCCAAAATAATTTGAGTGGTTTATAAAAAAAAAAAATCACAAGCAAGATAGGGCAAATACGAATTAGATCAAATAAAGAAAAAGGCTGAGCAGGAGAGAGAGAGGTCAAGAACCACCACAGCTGTACCTCCATGGCATAAGGTCTAGGGCCTCTGGATAAGGCTTTGAGGTAAGACCCTGTCGTGATTCCTCTGAAACTAGAACTTGGGGCCTAAAGAGAAAATTGGATGACTGTTTTGACCACTCAGGCAGAGTGAGGGTGGCCCATCCCGCACATCAGTCCCTTTACAATGGATGAGAAGGCGTCCCCACGGCTGGCACAGTAGGCCCTTCCTCATCTCCTCTGTCCTCATCTTCCCAGGCCCTTCTGACTTCCATGGCCCCATCCTTCACCACCCAACCTCAGGGTCCCCAGTTCAGTCGCCTTAGAACCTTACTCACTGGTCCCAACCTGCCTGCTGGAGCCTGGGTCTCTCTCCCACACCCTGAACTGGGTGGTCCTAAGACTTGGAGCTTCTGCAGAGTGGGCACCTGAGAAGGGCACCGGTGCCTCTGGCCAGTACTGGACCAGCGTGGTGTGAGGTCAATGGGTCACGGCCAGGGCCAGGGCCAGGACTGAGGCCCACACCACCTGCCACACCCTCCCACATCGGCTCCTCATGCCTGCCTTGCTGACGTCCAGACCAAAGGTTTTTAATTCCTTTAGTCATCATGGCCTTGTTTGAGAGTCTGATGATAGCTGTTGTCTCTGTCCCCACAGACACCACATTTTGCAAGGACCCCAAGGTTCAAGATCTCTACTCCAAGGACCATCTCTGCACCTGAGACTGTCCCACCAGGCCCTGTAAGCACCTACAACTTCCTACATTCTTCCTACCACCATGCCCTACCTCAGAGTTGACAGCAGCCCTGACAGG